CAGTCATTAAGCTTCTGCCTTCAGCTCAGGTCATGATCCCAGGGTCCTGGGATCGAGCCCCGCATCGGGCTCCCTGCTCAGCGGGAAGCCTGCTTCTCCCTCTCCCACTCCCCCTGCTCGTGTTCCCTCTCTCGCTGTCTCTCTCTGTGTCAAATGAATAAATAAACTCTTAAAAAAAAAAAAAGGAAAACCATACGGGATTCACTTTCCAGAGCATGTAGATGTTTTGAAGCCTCAAGATGGATTTAAAGTATTCAGGATATTTTCTTAGCTTATCATTGGGACAAATCCTCTCTCTGGACCTCATTTCTCCAATGAAGGGAAAGGATTTCTAAAGCCTTAGGACAGAGTGGACAACCCAAGGTTTAACTCCAAGAAATGAATCACCGGTGGTGGAAATCAGGCTCAAGGCTACCTGGATGGGGTAGAAGACCTCCTCTAGGAGCCCAGTTTTCTTCCCAGAACAATTCGCTTTCGTGTGCTGGCCTGTCCTGCCGGACATGCATGGACTATGGTAACATTTCCAGTCCCCAGCGCTTTTGCTCCCCTGCCTTCCTTCCTATCTCCATGGTAAAAACCAGACATTTTAATACACGTCATATTGATATAATCATGAATGCAGCCAAGATAATTGGATCCACTCTGCTATTAATCCCCCAGTGACCAAAGCCAGGCTGTTAGGGTAACTACATTCTGTCTGTTCAGGCTAGTGCTCCGCAAACTATACTCTAAACAAGCCGGTATTCATTTACTCAAACTTTAATAAAATAATTGTAGGCAAATTAGCCATTTTTAAAACGGACAAAATAACGTCTTTTACCGAGCTTATCGTTTAAAACAAGACCAAACAAAAAAACCCATTGGTATTTTTGTTCCCATTTAAAAAACATAACCTTCATTTCAACCATTTTTCATTGTTCACTAATGAAATCAATGCAAATAACCTTTATATTTGTTAAGAGAAAAAAAAGACAAAAAATTCATTTCCTAAAAATATATTTGCTTAGAAATTCTTTTTACCTTATGAACTTCCTTGGTCTTATAAACCTGTCAGCAGAGCAAACTGGGAGCCAGTTTCCTGCAGCCATAAACCCCACCACCCATTTTACAAGTCTTTATTCTTTGGAAATGTAAACGCTAGTGTTGAAAAGCATTCACCTGTAAGATAAATGAGTAGTAAAATGATTAGTGCCCATTTAGTGATTACTTACCCCTGGGCTGGTTGACAACGGGAGGGCTGGCTTGAGGGGCTCTGAAAGCTGACTCCTTCTCCACACCTGGCTAGATGGGGTCTCCTGGGGCCCTGCCTGGGCCTGCCGACCCCAGGGCCCCTGCACAGCTGCTCCTCACAGGCCTGTTAGCCAGCCTTTGTGGCGTCTCCTTGGAGCACACGTTCTAACCACAACTCATCTTGAAACTGCAACTGCCATCTTTCCCATGGCACCAGGCCGAGAGAGGTGAAATGCTATCCCGAAGAGATTCTCCAAGCCCCTTAGGAGCTGTGACTGCGTCCTCCTGAGTTCCCATCTGCTTCTCCTTCGGAGGAAGGGTCGGGGCCCTTCGGCCCCTGGCGCCTTGCCTCAGGCCACGCCCGCCTAGATCCCCGATCATTCCAGTTTAGGCGCACCTGTCGGTCTACACCAACGCTGCAATCCCCATCTCTCTCTTTTTGTGGCTCTTCTCTTCTGTTGGTGAAGCTACATTTCCATCCACTTTCGAGACGAAGTCCTCTGCCTGATTTTCACGCCCTGGACAAGCTTACCTCACCGAATTGACCTCGCACTGCTTGCGGATTCCCTGAGCAGCCGTGCTGGGGGCTACAAGGTTAAGATGGCTCACCGCTCTGCTCATGACCAGCTGATGGGCCTCTGCCTGCAGTCTTCCCTGGAGAGAAGTTTAAAGATGGCAAATGGATAGGTTTACATTTCAAGGAGGAGAGCGCTTCCCCAAGGCAGTAGGTACCATATGAATGCTCATTACTGAGAATGAGCTCTTGCCAAATATTCAAAATCAATATTAAAATTAATTGGCCTCAGCTTATACGTCAAGCAAAGCGCGTATAACAGGGCATGGTGCCGAGTGGTGGTGTAGACTGCGGTCATGGTTGAACACATCATTCTCTCGAATGACGCTGTTCAGCACTACCGGGATATTCCTAGGAGCCACCCACTCTGAAATCACCCTGACTTTCATGGTTTTAGTTCTTCCGCTTGTCCTAACTGCTGCCCTCTTCTCATGCTGTTGAGATAAAAAGGTGGTGTTTTTTCTTGTCCGTGTGCCTGCCCATTGGCTGTGAGCTAGGAAACCAGAAAACAGAAGTTTTAGGAAGTCTTTGAAAAATAAGAATAAATTGGCCTTGAGTGGAAGACTGGACCTTGTGAAATAGGATTATCAAAGGCAGGGCCTGGGGGGTGGGTAGGGGAGGAAGGGCAGGGCAGTGGGGGAAATCCCAGTGCCCAGACCACACTGCAGACCAATTCTATTAGAATTTGTAGGGGAGAGGCCCCAGCGTCAGTGTTTTTTAAAACCTCCAGATGACTCCCAACATGCAGCCAACGTTGAGAAGCACTCCCTGCTGCCCATACTGTGTGTCACTCTATGTGATGGAATTGGCCAACGTGTGGTGGGACAGCAGGGAGACGGGAAAACCAGGGAGCTTGCATCCGGGCCATTGCTCCCCGCGCCTCCCCTCACTTCAGATACAGAAAATTCATCTTCTTGAGAAAAAACTCTGACTGGCTTTGACTGTATTAAATTTCCTGAATCATTTTTTATTCTGCTTGTTGGGGAAGAATGTATGTTCTTTATTTGGGTCATGGGGATGTAGTTAATAAACTGTAATGTTTCTTAGTTCTTTTGAGAGTTTTCACAGGATAGATTTAACTCCAGCCCTCTGAAGTTGTTTTCACTTTCACTTAAAAAATAGGTAATAAACCACTTCATAAATGTCAAGTACCGCATGAGTTTCTGGGGACACAATGGTGTGTTGAGGGGGCCTCAAGACCACTCCCATGTTTGAATATCTGCTATCAGGACTCACAGGAGTTGTCAAATAGTTGTATTGATGGCTAAGATTTATTACAGTGGTGTACTAGGGGTACACAGCCAGAGCCTAAGGGACAAAGACACAGGTGGAGTCAGGAGAAATCATGTGCAGTCTTCCTTAAGCTCTCTCTTCCTCTCTTTCTCTCCCCTGAGGGGTCACAGAGTGTAGCTAAATCTTTGCACACATTCATGGTTGTTTCTTATATTTCTAACCGTGGGTAGAGCTGAAGCAAAGGGAATGCAACATTTTAAGGCTTTTGATACGTTTTTTCCAACTTGGCCTCCAGAGGTTGTCCTTTTTTTTTTATATTCTTCCTAGCAGCGCTCATTTCCCACATCCTCTCTGGCTCTGAGCAGGACTGTTTTCTAAAAGTCCTTGATAATCTTACAAGAGAGGAGTATCTCATTTTATTTGTGCATCAGTGACCCACGTGCTGAGGGTGGAACACGGGAGACCTGTCCAGCTCTGTGGGAACAAGAGACATGGGCCATATGGTCTCTGTCCTCAAGACTGCTGACAGGCCAGGTGGGAAACAGCCTTCCGCCTGGTGGCAGCGGGCATGCTGAGGAGTGGACTCTTTTGAAAGGACTGGGGTTTTATTGCTATTGATCTGCTTTTAGTTTTCCTGTGAAGTATTTCCGAAGGAGGAATCAATAGGATAATATAATATCATATAATATATATAACATAAAAATATATACCAGTTTAATAAAATAATATGGGTAAAGCAATGAAGTAGATTGTATGGAAAGTGAGTGTGGGGCTGCCAGCCAGAAAAAGGATAGAAACTGGATATTCGAAATTGGACGACTAAGAAAAGAAGCAGATTCAGGGCCAAGGAAACACCTAGAGGAGCCTGGGCAAAGGTGGGGGTATGGGTCATTTTGCCTATGCTTGTCTTTTTAACTTTTTAAGGCATGTATCATGAATGACTGTGTAAAGTTTAAAAAAGTAATGAATTTTTATAATTTAAGTGTGTTGAATTTAAAGTGTTAGTAGTTCTTCGAAGTTCAGAGGCCAGTGGGGTATGAGGTGGGGGCCCAGGTAAGAGAATGGGGCTTCCAGTGACAACTTAGGTGTCACCAGTATTCAGTGACTGGTCACCAAGGAGTGGGCTAATATTTGAGGCAATAAGTGAGGGTGTGTGTATGTGTGTGTGTGTGTGTGTGTGTGTGTAGAGGTGGGGGGTTGGAGAGAGAGAGAAAGGAAGAGAAGAGAAAGAAGCAGGGGGCCAAGGACACAATGGGTAAATGGAGTCAATGGAAGACACAGAGCTGTTCCAACAAGCCTTTCTGAAGCTGGGACAGGCTTAAACATGTGGGAGCATGGTGCCCACATGGAGGTTTCCCAGAAGTGTCTTTTGGGAGGAGAAAGAGATAAGGGACAGCCATCAGGTTAGCTGGTTCTCCTGCCCTGAAATGAGGTCCTGAGAGGCAAACCGATTTGCTCAAGGAGGCACAACACACTTGGCAGTAAAACTCCAGTGTTGGCAGGTGATTCTGCCGAGCACTCCCTCTTGGAAGCCTGTCACACACCCGATTTCCACAGCGGACTCTCTAGAGTTGTGTTTCTGAAGAGGAGGGTTCATGTATCAACTACAGAGCATCAACTACAGGAATATTGAAAGTCCTTCAAGGTTAATGCAAATTTCTATGTGTGAAACGAGGTGTGGAAAAAATTACAGAGCACTTTCTAGAACCAGGTTCTGCTTACCTGCTGGAATCAGAGAATCAGAAACAAAGTTGTTTCTTGAAGAAGAGGTTTGGGGTCCTGTGTCACGTGGACGAGCCAGCTCAAATCTCTGGGTATTTTTGCACAAATCCCTCCACTGCCCCCCTAAAACGTATTCACTGTGCATCAGAATTCCCCACTAAATTACTTTTTGGCCTCTACTTTCAACTTCCCCCCATGTCTTATGCCCTCACTCTAAAAAATAATAATACACATACTAGACTTCTTTTAAAAATGAATCAATGTTTATAACTCCAGCAGATTGTAAAATGCACATGTTCAGTTATCATTTTAACTTAGTAGCTGTCAAACTGGTAAGGAGTACAGAAAAGTCAGGCTTTTTCTTTTTTCTTTGAAGTCAGGCTAGGAAGTTGGCTTGTCAAAGCTTTTAGTGTGGAATCAAGTACTGGTAGTCAGCACACACGTACCTACACCACTCTAGCTAGCCCCAGGAGAGGACACAGGCCAACGTGGGCAGGTTTTAGAAAGGACCCCAATTTCACCATGTACCCTCTCCTCCCACTGTTTTGAAATCAGAAGCACTATACTGTACAATGGGAGACAGGCCAGGGGCCAGCGGGTGATGTGGCTTGAGTTCTCAGACTGTGGACCCTCTGGGGGTGCATTCAAGTTCCATGACAGAGTCACCTCCAGCGCAAAAGGCCATTACCCAAATGCACTAGTGGTGTTAAACAAAGAAATAGATCGTTAGTGGTTAGTTCTTTAAAGTATACTTTTCGGCATTTGCAGAATTTCTAGACGGTGCAGAAGAAAAAGTCTTAGCGCCTTGAGAGTGTCTTAAGTTATAGAAGAAGCAGCCAAGCTTTGCGTTGGACCTGCTGTCACTTGCCCCTTTTCTGTCTTTGTGCTGCCACCTAGAGAGAAAAGGAAAACATATGTTGTATTCTGGTGAGCGGAAGCAGTCACCTCACACCCCAAGCACTATCTGCACCTTCTAGAACAAAAAAGCAAGGTGGGCTGTTTTAGTTCTGAGAAACGGCAGCCTTACACTTTTGCTTCTGAGCAAAGACCTCAGATAAGGCGTGGGGTTCCTGCCGTGGCCAGCCTCCCTCCCTGAGCTCATCCTGGGGCTAATCCTGGTCTCCTGAAGAAGCGTGCGTGCGTAGGAAGCAAATTTTCTTTCCACTGTTCAGAGGGAGTGAAATACAAAATCTTAAGGTCACCCAAATTTATGGAATGAACACCATCTATTTTAGAAGAACACCAAAAATATAAAAACACATGAAAACAAGGTTCTAAGACAAATAATTCTTAAACCCTCTTTCTACTCGTTTCCTTTTCCTTTTCTTTTGAAAGGCAGATCTTTTTTTTTTTTTTTCCAAAAGTAGGAGGCCAACGTATAAAAAATAGATAAATGTAGACCTGCTGGAGGCAGTAGTGGTTCCTAATATCTCTCTGAAGAATGCCTCTGAACACGCTTAACGGCAACATCCTGGTTTCTGACTGCGTACAAGGTCAAACATAATTTATTCTGCAGCTATTATGTCTTCAAAAAAAATTTTTTTTAAGTTGATGGAAGTCAGATTTCTATGCCATAATGTGGATAAGTTGAGGTTAGACCTTCCCTAACCACCTGCCTCTGAAGGACTGTCACCTTCTGCTCAGCCTCTTCCATAGCCCTGGCACTGTGTGTGACATGCCCCCTCCTGCCTGCTCCTAGAGAAGAAACTTCTTGAAGGCAGGTGTTTTGTGGGCCATGTTGACAGCTGCACTTCTAGTGCCTCAAACATTTGGCATGTAGCAGGTGCTCAGTATAAGTTCTTAAGAGGAATCTGAGCTTGTCCCTTGGCTTTTTTTCTTTTGAAAGAATGAATCAGGGCACCTGGGTGGCTCAGTCGTTAAGCGTCTGCCTTCGGCTCGGGTCATGATCCCAAGTCCTGGGATCAAGCCCCGCATCGGGCTCCCTGCTCAGCGGGAAGCCTGCTTCTCCCTCTCCCACTCCCCTGGCTTGTGTTCCTTCTCTCGCTGTGTCTCTCTCTGTCAAATAAATAAATAGGGGCGCCTGGGTGGTTCAGTCCTTAAGCGTCTGCCTCCGGCTCAGGTCATGATCCCAGGGTCCTGGGATCGAGCCCCACGTCGGGCTCCCTGCTCTGCGGGAAGCCTGCTTCTTCCTCTCCCACTCCCCCTACCTGTGTTCCCTCTCTCTCTGTGTCAAAAAATAAATAAAATCTAGAAGAAGAAGAAAAACCAGATTTAATAAATAAATAAAATCTTTTTTTTACAAGAATCACATGACTAACTTTAATTATATACATATTCTGATTAAAACACATGTGTAAGGTAACAATTCTTTGAACATCTATGGAGTCAATTCCTCTATAAATCATATTTGGTGATCCCTCCCTCTCAAATAGGCTTGATTCATGTGAGACCATCAAAATAACATTTATTAACAAAAGTACAGTAAATGTTAAAAAGCTGGCAGCTGAATTAAAAGTCTGGCATGGATATACACCAGCTGAGCAGAAGCTTTAGTCTAATTCTGGCCCACCACTGCCGAGGATAAACTGACCAGCAGAATTCATTTGGAATAGAGCAAGACGATGAAGCACAGTAAATCTGATTTTTCCTTCCTTAAAATAAAATTCACAATTAAGACAGACTCATGAGGGGAAGACTGTCATAAAGCTACACACACGATGGTATGAATAAGAAGCTGAGGTCAGCAGAAAGGAAAGAGGCCCAGGCTTGAGGATAGAAGGGCAGCAGTGGACTCAGCTACTTTCAGTCTGCAGCACCTACTTTCACCACAGTGGACCAGGGGCACACCCCCTTTCCGGTCTACCTCAGGGGGTAGTTGTGAAGATCAGTGTAGCTACTGATAAGTAGTTGCTACGGAACCTGTAAAGGACTATTAAACATAAGGTAGGAAACCTCTTTGTCAGTCTCACGACCCTGAGGAGTGTATAAATCCCAGCCTATGAAAGGTGTATAAATCTTGTCATGTCTTCCCATTATTCAGATGAGTCAAAGCCTGTGGACATCTTCCATAGACACTAAGAAAATACCAGTGCCCTTCCCATCCTGGTCTGTCTTCCACGAAGAGGTCCGACTGCTCAGTGCAGCTAACTCTGGAGCTCTCCAAAGCTTGGGTTAGTCTGGAGAGAGGGCTATTTGGGAGGACGTATGTGATACAAGGTATCTAGTCAAGTTACATAACCTTTAATAGCAGAGAAAGTCAGTCCTAACCATGCGTGGAGACTATCCTTCAAATCTAGTGTTGGCATGACTTCCCAGGGTGTAACGGAAGTCAGTTCCTCTGGGGAGAGGGAGTTTGGTGTGGAAAGTCTGGGAGTCTGAGGTCCTGAGTTGACCTTCTGGCTCAGCTCTTTATTAGCTGTGTGACCTTGAGCTTTTTCAACGGTAAAATGGGGAAATAATACCAATGGTGCCATTCTGTTTCTAGAAGGATTAATCACATAAATTCATGTGAAAAGTGCTTAAAACCTGCAAAGCACTTGGTCAGCTTTTGTTATTACTTCCCAATAACTGTGCTCTTCACATTTCTTTTTACTGCAAGGGAATGTAATCTATGGAAAATGAAGAAAAGGGTCAAATATATGCCAGAAACACCTCAAGAGCCAGAATGAGCATGTTGGCAGATTTCCTTCCAGACTTTCTTCTAGGGAAACAGATAAGATAAGCCAACGAAAGAACTGAGAGGAGTGCCTGATGCATGGTAAGCACTGGATGGATACGAACTCTACAGCATTTCCTCATGGGTATAAAGGAGGTAAGTCTCCCCATGCAGCAGCAAATTCAGGGAAGGACATAAAAGGACTCAATGATCTAGTCTCATTTCACAGGGAAGACAGGACTGTGGGCCAGCAAAGCTAGTGATTTGTTCCTGGGCCCACAGAGTTAAGGCAGGACCGAGACTACAACCAGGGACAGTAATAATCCAGCTACTTTAAATTAATTGGTCTTTTTAGGCCAATTACTTTTGCTTTTTAAAAGTAACCTTCTTAGTTTAGTTTGAAACATGGTTGGCCATTTATCTGTTTACTGATATTGTCATAAATTTGCATGTAACAAAAGCAACACTGTATGTTTGGTTAAGTAAATGGATACTTTTTAGTTTCTCACTTCCAAATTGCCTTTGTGTCTTGCTAAGTCTCCTAGTAAGAGAAATATGATCCTGGGAATGGGTTGTAGCACACTAAGAAACACACCCAAACTAACAAAACACAATTCCACTTGACATCCACATTAAACCTGATGGAGGAGAATCTCTCTGGGAGTGCAGAACCAGAGAAGTACAAACCTTGAAAGATGAGAGAGCCTGAGAACCAGAGTACAGGGAAAATTTAAATTGAAGATAAACCAGACATAAAAAAGAAAAGAATGTTGGCAATCCGAGATCCGTTTCAGAAATATGTATGGTTTGACAAAAACGATGGAGGCTCTTGTGTGTGTACCTAAGTGGTTTTATAGTTTGCAGAAATTTTTTGAAGCTTACCCCAAATCAGCACATTCATCACAAAGATAATAATGTAAGTAAAGAGAAGCGAAGGGCCGAGGGATTTAAGCAAGCTGTTTGGGTTGGCTGTCCCTATCCTGACTGCTAGGGCACCCTGCCCTGCGACTCTGGCTGTTGTGGGGATTAAAGGACTTACACGTACAGCAAAGTGCTCAGAACAATACTATGTAAATGCTATACAGTGTGTGTTGTTATTAGAATCAGTATTAGTATCATGAAATGATCACATGAGAAACAGGATATTAGCATAGTTTCAAAAATTGAGGGGCATTTTTACAAAATAGCTGACCAGTATTCTCAAAAGGGTCAACGCCATTGAAAGACAAAGGAAGACTGAGAGACTCAAACATTAGAAAAAACAGGAGATATGACAACTAAATACAATGTGTAATGATGGACTGGATTCTGGAATAGAAAAACAACATTAATGTAAAAACAGGTGAAACTCAAGTAAGGTGGTAGATTGGTTAATAGTGTTGCATTATTGTAAATTTCCTGGGCTTGGTAATTACACTTTGGTTATGTCAGGTGTTAACATTAGAGAAAGCTGGGTGAAAAGTGTAAGTAACCTCTACTGTTTTTGCAACTTTTCTGTATGTCTAAAATTATTTCAAGATAAAAAATAAAAAAAAAAAAAAGAAAGGAAGAGACCCAGAAGTGACAGAGATGATGCAACCAGTAGACAGGGACAGTAATGAAGTATTTAAAGAAAACACAGTGAGAGAAATGGAAAGACATAAAAAAGAACCAAATAGAACATCTAGAACTGAAAATTCCCATTTTGAAATAAAAATTCACTAGCTGAGGTTAATGGAAGATGAAACACTACAGGACAAAGTAGACTTGAAAATATAACAAGAAAACTGTCTAACATGAACATAAAACAAAACAAAACCTAGAAACTCAGTGAAAGGACAGGTCGGCTATTATCAAGTGGTCTAACATACATGTAAATGAAGTCCTAGAAGCTGAGGGGGTGAGCAGAAAAAAGCAGAAAAATATTTAAAGAAACACTGGCCAGAAATTTTCCAAATTTGATGAAAATGACAAACTCAAAGATTCAAGAAGCTCAACAGACCCACAAACAAGTTAACACAAAGAAAACCACATCAACACATCATAATCAACTTGCTGAAAACTAATAATAAAGAAAAAAAATCTTAAAAGAAGCCAGGGAGGAAAGGGGACACCGTTTAATATAAAGTAGAAGAAATAAAAAAATTATCACAGATGTCTCAACAGAAATAACACGAGCCACAAGACAATGATTCTCTGACAGGATCAAAGAAGTTAAAAAATTTTTAGCTGGATTAACCAAGAAAACAAAAAAGATACACATGATCAATCAGGTATGAAAAAAGAAAATGACTACAG